CCATATGACCCTGGCTGCACTCCGTCTGTCAGTTTCTCCAGCGAGCGACGGTGCTCATCTGCACGTTAATTGGCTTAAAGTAACCGAAAGCTCGGCTGGCGCAGGGGTCTGGAGGAAGAGGACTGGAATGGTCACCTCCGGTCCTCGGGGAGCTGTAGGACTTCCTGGCTTGTGTTCCAACGCTCTTGTCAGTCATGTAGCAAGCCCAGACCTGAATCTAGCTGTGTACCTAGCAAGGTGACTAGAAGTATTTTTATTTCCTCTGGACAGCGTCCTCAAATATTTCAGATATCATAAAACATCTGAGAATTTTCCCCTATTTACCCCCCCACCAGTTTTCATTCTGAACAGGTACGAGATTTAACAGATACATAAGTGTAAGATGATGATGATGATTATTATATGTAGTTTCCTCAGTTTTCATACAGTTGCAATAGTGCCTTAGGGCTATTTGTTGAAGACCACCTATAGTGGTTTTGTTTTGTTGATTTTAAGTCATAGAAATAATTGCACATATTTCAATTCACAACCAGGAATAGAAGTCAGATCTGTGTTGTGCCTCGGTGTTGATCAGCTGCTAACTGTAAAACCTAGAGGAAACTAGCCCTTGACAAGTAAAGGTGCCCACATCTGCTTAGGGCAGTGCACACTGCTTGGGCTGAAGGGGAATTTGTTTTTAGGAGACCATTGATCTATACAAGAGCCTTCTTATTGTACATGATTTGAAGCTGAGTTGTTAAGACACTGTAAATAATGCCTCGTAATGAACAGTCGATAAACCTGGAATTGCCTTGACTTTAATTGCATCTGGCTAGCCTAGTTCGAAATTACATCCGCTAACAGCAGTGGATAGTTCAGGCCTTCTGTGTGGTCATGTGTTTCATTGCACATTGCAATAATGAGCATGCTGTCAGAGGTTTTGCCTACCATTAGGTTAGCAAACAAGGCCTCTCTAAGGCATTTGCTGATCATTACACAGTTTACAGAACACGCACACACCAAGTTCACAATTAGCAGCCTTCTTGACTTTGTAATGAATAATAATGAGGTATGAGGGCTGGGGTGAAAACTGGAAATACCACTCATAACATCCATTAGATTTACAACTTGTCCATATGTTCTGCACCGTGCATAAGCAGGGCAAGCATAGGAACAGACTGATAAGTCTACACATGGATTTTGGCAGACATTTACTTGTATTTAATAGATAGTATAACTTTTGAAAATGTATTATATCAGTACCTATGTCACTATCATTACAGTGTGGAAAATGACTGCAAAACCCTTGCACTTTAAAAAAATATTCCTTTATCCATTGTTTCATAGCTAAAGCAAATATATTTAACAATTCTTCTAATATGATAATTGGAAAAGGCTGCCTAGGGCATTAATGATCATGCATAAGATTTACATTTTTTTTTTATCTTGGTAAGGCAAAAACATCTAAGATAACAAAACCTGCGGTGAATTCTTGAGGTAGATTAAGATCAACCAATCTTTTAAGACTGAAAGCTTTCCATGGCGCCTTCCACGCCACAATGGCCTTCCACTATTGATTAAGCCATAGATTGAATTTTCAAGCCCCCAGCAAAAAGTGCAGCCTAGTCCACTCCTAACCTTGCTTTTTTACAGGTCAGTGAGCTGTTTGAACATAACTGACCGTTGGGTCAAATGATAGCCAGCAGGTATATTCACCCTGCAACTCACAGCTGGCAGCCCCACTGAAGCTCAGCAGCTGTGAGTCTGGCCAGTCCCTGGATGGGAGATCTCCTGGGAAAGCTAAGGTTGCTGCTGGAAAAGGTGTTAGTGGAACCAGCAGGGAACAGTCTCCCTGTGGTCTGTGTGGGTCCTAATGCCCCAGGATCGTGATGGGGATGTTAGAATGCAAAAAAAAAAAATGCCATCCTTTGGAATGAGACTAGAATTAAGGTCCTGATTCTCTGTGGTCAATCATGGCCTCCTTATAATCCCCACCTATGAACTGGCTTCATCACTCTGTTCTCCTCTGCACTGATAGCTGATGTGTTGTGACTGTACTGGTCCACTCTGGCTGCCCTCATACCATCCGGGTAGGGGCTGCACATTTGTGGTGGTGGAGGGGAGTCCTCAGGCCCTGTTTTATTATTATCCATTTGTTCACAAAACATAATACGCAGAGGCTAGTTTATAAACCTCTGTATTCAAGATTTAGATAAGATGTAACCCTCCTCTTCAAGGATTATCCAACAGCAGATACCAACAGGTTGCATGTTACAACTCATGTTGTAACAGTGACAAAACTTTCCATGTTACTCAGAAAATGCTTGTAAAACACTGGATTGAAAAACGCAAACTGCGGCAAATCATCAACCAATGGAAATATCGATGAAAACAACAACAAAAAGAATTGCCAAGAAGCTTATGTAATAAAACAACCGCCACAAATTGGTGTTACATAAGTCTGCATTAATTGAGGACTGACGTCTACTCTGGTATATCCAAGTGGTGTTTGGATATTAATTCCCTCGACGAAGGGCTGTTAGGTTCCTGAAAGAAGCAGCATGAATTTATTAAGGCCTGCAGGGCAGTGAGCATGTGCAGTCTTTGAAACCGTGATCACAATCCAAGATCAAACTTGCATGAACAGGGTTTTCTCTAATTGCATTCTGAAGAGGTGCAATTGTTGTCTGTGCATCACGTAGAGCACCAGGGAGGACCTGAAAGCTGGAATCAAGAGTAACAGAGGCTCCAGTGAGCTGTGGCTATAAATAGCACCATATCAAGATACTCCACTTGCCTTTGTTTCTGCTCTCTGTGGGCTGCCTGTCTCTGTGCTGTAGCCTCCAATCTAACCCTGCCACCCCACCTCTCAGGGGTTAATAAGCTTGGTATTTCAGCTGAAGAGAGCAGTGGCACAGGTTGTCACACTTACAGGACTCTGCATTCCCACAATGCCTGGGAGTCTCTGCAGAGAAATAGTGGGGACACACGTCAATCATTTTTCTTCTTTCCTGAAATACAAGCAGTTTCTCAGATAATAGAAGCCCTGGAGTGCTCGTACCTAGAATTCTGCCTAATTGTACTTAAGAAAACATTAGTTCAGAAAGCTTGTGCCGAAGCACATACTGATAATACTTAAACAATACTGAGAACCTGACGGGACCTGCACATAAGCATGCACGTTACTCTTCAAGAACAGGACAAGACTTTTTCACACATATATTCTTTTCTATACTTTTCGATACCTGGGATTGGGATGCACCAGAGGTGTTATTCTGAACAGATCCAACACTCAGAACAGGTTCAGGTGATCTGGAATTCTGCGTACTACACATCTCATACACAAGCTCTTTATCATCGAACTCCCTAGTCAAAATAGCAATACACGAGAGAAAACCTTTGTTCTTCATGTTAAGGTACCTGAAGGTGACTGAATCCCTCCCCTTCCCCTTTGAGGAAATTCTTTTTAGATCTGTCTTGCCTCCAGAGCCTTTGAAATTTCTAATCGGACACGCCTTGCTGCTGAATAAAATTCTTTCAACTTGTTGGAGGCGAAACGCTGTCATTTCGGATGGCAGTTATTGTACCAGAAAGAATCCCCATCTCCATCCAGGCAAGACAGTCAGTTTTCTTTCTGCTGTGTTCAAAGACTGAGAAGCAGAAATTGTACAAGCTGGGGAAAGCACCACAGGAGTTGCTGTATTTTATCATAGGTATTTTTTTTTTAAGTTCCCCACAAACGTCTGTCACATGTAAAATGTCAAACCCTTTAAAATTTCTCTAGGTGGAATAATTAATAAAAATCTTCTATTTCTCTTTTGGATCTAAACTTAATTAACAGTAGCCTTTTGGAAACAGCGGAGACTGCATGTGAAGCTAAGAAAAAGCTCTATGGAAACAAGTGCAGCATTAGGACAAGAAAGGAACCCTTATCAGTAAAGAGAGTTTGCTGACATTAAGTTATTTTGTTTGGAACTGGCTGTGGTGAAACTTGAAAACTGGAGGCCCTCCGTTGGCCCTCAGCGTCCCTCGCTTCAAGAATACAAGCCCGTTTTTTTTTTTAACATGCTTCACGCAATGTCGTGCAAATGTTTGCTTAACGTTCGTACGACATCGTCATGGACAGGGATAATTATAATCTACCATTTAAAAAGACAAACGGATTTTTTTTTGTTATCATCCTAGCAGAACAACGTTTTTATCTTCTTTCTTTCTCATTTGGTTCCGGATGCGGGGTCTCAGAACAGCTCGTTACATCGCGGTAGCGCGATCCCCCTCACGGCAAGACAAAGCGGCCGAGGGCCAGACCGGCAGCTGCTGTCATTGTTCCGCGCGACGCGCGGGCTTTGTTTTAATTATCTCCGCTCTGCAGATCCGCAGTGGCGGCGCTCGGCTCTGAACCCGAGCGAGTGTGGATACGACAACGTTTTATCTCCAAACAGCCATGGGGGGGAGGGGGTTTCAAAGGGCTTCCTGCAGATTTAGTTTACCCATGAACGAGCCCTTTAGATTCGGCAATGTAATTTTTTCAACGGCAAATAAAGTGCGTTACACTGCAAAATTGCTTTAAAGTCACCCTAGCATAGAAGTCAACAGTTTCACTTCAATTAATTTAATAAACAATGTGTTTAACATAATTGGCCAGTATTGCATAAAGCACGTATCACCCCACCAACATCCCATCTTGGTGATAAAGTACTGCAGACTAAGGTCAATGCATACTAATAAATGCATGACTTCAATGACATCTTGAACACATCTGAGATACATTTCCACCTTTTTGGCTCAGTAAAACCCTCGAAATATTTTCTTTCTGAAAACTAGATCTAAGTGTTCTTCGGCAGCTGTCACTTCATCATATCAATGAAACTCATTTGTCCCGATTCTCTCGACACGTTCCACTTCATTGTGGTCCTGCCCTCAAGAAGCTGCATGTCCCCAAGTTAAGCAAAACATGACAAACTCGAGGAACAGATTTCCTGTTCCTTTCCAAAATCTCCACAAACAGATTCTGATGTTAAATGAATCAAAGACAAGCTTTTTTTTTTCCAAAGTTTCCTGTTTTTTTATTTTTATTATTACTGTATATAGGATCTTTGGTGTTCCCACAGCACTTGGTTGCACTATTAATCATTTTGCTTCTAAAATAGTTACAAAAACCCTTACATCACATCATCTCCTACAAAGAAAAGACAATTCCTTTTTTCACTACTTACTACACACAGTCAGCAGTTTACATGCAGTTGAGGGATATAAAAACACTCAAACTTAAGTCTGTCCAGAACAAAATATTGCCCCCATCTGTTGAGTTATGTAATGAATGTATATAAAGCTCTGAATTATGGAGTTTTTTTTTATCTGTCTACTCAAGTTTGAAGTTGAAAAGATTACTTCATCAAAGATTACCTTTAACTCTTAAGCAATGTTTGTGCAGTTAAATGTTGAAAAATTGTAAATATTATCCAAGCTTTCATGGTAAAAAAAAAAGTGGTTAGCATAGATACTAATGCTGAAAACCTTATGTTCAAGTTAAGAGTTGTGCAAATCCAATTACATATATATATTTAAAAAATAAATAAAAAAATTAAACTCGCACATCCTATGCCAAATGACAGGATTCACAGCATAACCGAAAATGAACTGTATATGTTTTATGTCGTCAGAAGATATGAAGACTGTATTGATGCATATCGGAGAAGCCAGTAAACTAATTCTAATAAAGTATCTGTAGTTATATTCCACAATATACTGATGCAAAGATTAACCTGTAATAACATAAACTGCAAATCTAGTTGACAGTGAGAAATGATTCCAGGCCTTCCATTAAAGTGTCCAGAATGCTTCAGCTTTACAGACTGGCCAGCCAGGACATCAAAACAACCATTCAGCACTGACTAGAAGCTCTTTTAACTCCTCTGGATAATGATATTAAATGATAATGCTCGCAAATTACCCAAACAGTTATTCTGCTCAAAATGCAGGCTCAGTTATGCAATACGAACTGGGCAAAAAAAAAATTCAAGGCATTTAAAAAAAAAAACATAATTGGTGAGTGAGCAAATGAGGACGAATAAGGGGGAAAAAAAGGCAAGACACGTCCAAGCCTGCAAGAAATCCAAAGGAAGGATTCCAGGTGCATCCCAAGGTGGAGATGGATATTCGGAAACAAAGTGAAATGGAGAAGTGTTTTATTTTTAAAGAAAGCCTTGACACAGGGTAGTGTGATCTGTAATCTGTTCTGCCTCTTGTCCAGTAAGGTCTCTTGCAATAGCTAGCTGTAAACATGAGTTGGTATTCAAACACAGAGGCATCTTCTGCAGGGGAACGTGATTCTGACATGAAGCCTAGTTCAGGCTAGGAAGGCCAAGACAATCTGAAGCATTTGATAACGAAACTGCAACAGTAAATCCGCTGTTAATCAAAGTTTTAACCACGTGAAACTAAACACCAAGAAGAGCCTAGACTCGTGGGTGCTCATTTGTAAACGTAATTGGCATAGATCACAAGAAGCTGGCTGTTGGAGTGGTACTTGAATTTTCTGATTTTTATCAGAAAAACGTGTTAAGTCTATAGAAGGGCTAGGACAAAAAACAACTATTATTGTGGATGGGAAAATTGATGATGGAGTGTTAAATGAAAATATTTTCTTTTTTATAAACACCCACTATGCTGTCTCTTTGCATTAATGTATTGGCCTTTCTGCTTTTAGAAACTATCTGAAGTGCCTTCCTAAAGTTATAAGATCCCTGTAATAGTGGACTAAAATTTTTAGATACAATGATCCTTTCAGAATAATTCCCCATGCTACCAGCATGTTTTCTGATGATCTGCATACCAGTGGAAAAGTTAAAAATCTAAAAATGATCTTCAGATTCATGCTAATTGCTTTAGGAACATATTTCTTTCAAGCCTAAATTTAAGCAAAAATGAAAGATTTGAAATTAGCAGTGACCTTTAACTGTGATTTTCAGAAAACATTTTTTAAATACAGAAGTAAGTAAGCTGCCAGTCTTGTCAAAACTAGAGAAACGCAGTTTCAGTTAGCATCACAAATCTTCAAGTAGTTTCTGTAACCTGTTGGCATGGCTGCATTATTCAATTCACAATGGTTTCAGAGAAAATGTGCACTACGTCCCTTGATATCTTTAGCTTATTTAAACCTCATCCACAACATGATCAAAAAGTATTCAACATATCAAAACATTCAATTCATATGTTTTTAAAGTATTACACTTGTCTGTTATTTAGGCAGAATAATTACAGTATGAAAAACTCCTCAACATACAAAAAACCTAAACTGCAATCCAGGTGTACATATTGTTCACTGCTAATTTCCAACCAATAAAGTGGACCAAGGCCTGACTATGTCATGTAAAACAGATACATTCAGCTTTCACGAAGGCTTTGCCAACAATCACTTTGCAGATATACCAGCACTATATATAGCAGGAGCCTAAACCAATGTTCTTCTACAGCAGGATAGTCACGTCTTTATAATCTTCAAGGCACAAAATAAAAGTTATGGTGTGAGCAGACGTACGAAGACTATATAAATGTTGAACCTCCTCAGTGTACACCTTTGTTTCTGTGAAGCGGATTCTGAAATTCAGGCACCATTGAGGATACAGGCCAGGGGTATCAAACCAGGCCAGATTTGAAGGTCACAGTGTAGATGGACATGTGGCTACATCCATATATACTGGACACAGACAGCCTAGTCAAACTGTATTTTTAAAGCTGTAGGTGGGTAACTAAATTGGGTACCACACCAATGGGACTGTTGGGAAACACATTTGCCACGCACAGACATTTCAATGTGATGGAAGGACATGATGTACTGCTGCACATTACTATTCAGTGTCCACAATCATGTCCCATTTTTCCATTATCCCATCTGTATTTGTACTACTTTTCATTGCCCTACAACACAGTTTTAGAAGTGCTTTTGAGAAGCCCAAATAAATGCTAAATCAATGGGTGTTCATGCATTAAGATGATCAGCATAATTTGCAAGTCTTTCGTTTAGATTCTGTTGTGCATTGCAGGATTATGCTTTGAGATGCCCGTACTGAGAGTCCTTGTTATCCAAGGTGATACCCCTGATACAGAAATATAGGAAATAAATATACCCTTAATGCTGGTATTTATAAATCCTATTCAAGTTCTTCTACAGTAGAGGAGTTTTGCTCTGATTTTTGGTCAACAGCCCAAATAAGAATTAATTCTTCCCTTACTGCATAACAGTTTGAGTTGGTACATTCTTGATGTTATAGTCTCTAACATATTGCTAAACAAACAATAGGAAAGATCTTGCAAGTATGGTAATAAAGAACAAAACGCAAAAGACTGGCGATGGCCTGTAAATCAGACAATGCAGACACACTGACTTTGTGCGTGTGTTCTCATTCACACAAGCAGAACCCACATGTTAGACGGAAACTGGGGGAACGCAACAAGAGGGTCGGAGAAGAGACAGCGTTAAAAAAAAAACAACAACACCCAGACTAACTCCACTGCTTTAACCAATAGACAGAGTGGTTCCACACCCCTCAGCAATTAAGTAAGGCTAGGAGAACATCAGAACACCCGTCCATTTTCTAACCACATCTTCCGATTTAGGGTCGCGAGGGAGCTGGAGCCTGTCCCAGCAAGCAACAGGCTCAAGGCAGGGTACACCCCGGACGGGATGTCAGTTCTTAAATTATCACTCTCTCTTCCCGCGGTAGACCTTGAGACTCCATTAGCTGAGCCTATCTCCTGTCTTCAACCATGCTGTTAAACAGCTACTGTACTTCAGTGATGTCTGCAGAAGCCTTAAAGTGTTTAGGCTAAAAAGCCACTTTTTAGAGAAATTGTTTGATCTCATACTTAAAAAGACCGGTACTGTGTAGCACAGAGCAAAGACAAATTTTAGAATATGGCCACTGGTGTTATATAATAAATAGCATTAAAAAAATCAAGCAAACTTTAAAAAAGTCATTAAAAATACTACTCATCTTGGTGAGCTTAATATTACCAGACGCTGCATTGTGTCTGAAAAATGGACTTGTCTTGAAACTGCACAATGTCCACCTATGGACATTGAGTCTAACCATTCTCTCGTTCTTGTTCTGGAAATTAATGAAAGGGAGAATTCAAGTGTGTTGCTGCTGCTGGCAGGCTGAGGTAGGCAAATCACAGCAGTTTGGGCACTGGATACACAACCCACCTGGGCTGAAACCTTAATGTGCAAGGGGCACAGGAAGGAACCGAGCAGCCCCTTTCAGGCAACCACACTGAGCAAAAGGGGTTTATGTCCAGTGACCATGGGACTGCACTCTACAACTCCTGTTTCATCAGTACTCTAAGGGCTAAGGAGTGCAAAACAGGACAGCAAAAAAACCGTCAGAGAATCTAAAAAAAACTCAAGTTAAAAAAAATAAAATCAGCAGGGGCATATTCATTTTCAGTTCTGCTCTTCAGTAAATTGATGCATTTGTCACATTTAGTTTAAAGCCCTTATCCTTATTAGGCTCTGCAAGATCAGTCGCTCTCAGCTAGAAAATGATGCAATTCTTTTTGTCTGTTTCTGCAGATAGACGTTCTTCTTCATTTTGTTTCTTGGCGCTGCCCTTATTAGCCCTCACGCTTGCTCTGTAAACCTGCCCCCCAGTGTGCCAGAGTCCTTGCTTCTTCCTGCAATCAAGTCATGGGCTGTTGATCATCAAGTTTCTCCATTTCTAGTGGTAATAAGCACAGACAACCTATGTTTTCATCTCAAGTATCCAAAAAACAAGTAGTTGGTGTTTGCAATATTACACAACTGGATTTTACAGTACGTCACAGGGGTTAAGAGATCTTAACAACCACCTTTCAGACAGGCTGACTGGTAGATACTAGTGCAACAGGACAGGAATGATGGTTTTCTATCTTAAAAAAAGGAATAAGTGCCTGATGACAAGAGCACATTTGTGCTTTTCCACATTCCCAGAGTTCTGGCAACAGCACAGTAGTAAACAATTTGTGTTTCCTTGGTGATCATTTAATATAACAATACCCAACTATGCTTTAAGCATACTATTACGTCGGTATATATTCTTCAAAACAGAAAATCAAAATCTTGTTTGACAACAGAAATGTATGCTTGAATGAATGTGGTCATGTTGTTTTACTTTACTCCCCTAAGTTCACAATGAACTTTAAACTTGGGGAGTTGTAGTTCTTCCTTTCTAAACATGGTAATCAAATCATAAGTACCTGAGAGAAACTCAGGTGCTCCCTCCACATCTTCCTTGAGAAGCTGGGGTGAAACATAACTGCCTTCAAAGACGGAACAGTGCATTAGTATTTTCGTTTTCTTACAGACTGACGGTACACAATTCAAAGAGAGAGCTTTCCACATACAGCAGGCTTTTACAGCTCAAAACAACCTGACCACACAGCTGAGGGGCTGGCACTGTTACGGTGAATTAAAAAAAAAAAGGAAGAGTTCACACTTTACATCAAGTGGCACCAACAACCGTACAAATCAAACTTCTTGTAATCGCCTTGGTATTTCAAGAACACCTTAGGTGTGATCATGACGTGGCACTCTAGATATAGTTGCCATTTCCTAAGCCGATAAAAAAAGGAAAGCCAGTATTGGTGCCCTGATGATAAAATAATTCAAGTACAACTTTCAACATGGAATGATCGTGGTATTAGGTTATCATCACATGGGCGACATTAAGAGCAATGTAAGTATAATCACTCCACAAGAGGAACTATACAAATACCCTAGTGCTTGACTGGGAAATGTTGTTTAACATAGACTGTGGAGCTTTGCTCCTTCTGATAGGGGCCCCTTGGAAATCAGCACCTTTTGACTGCAGATTTAAAGACTGAAGGCTTATTGAGGACCTACAGCAACAGATCAGAGCAAACAAATATTCCTTAGCATCACGTACAGACTCCAGGCAGACAATCTCCATGCAGCAACAGTCATCCGGACAGCCTTCAAGTGCCAGTCTGCTGGTAACCCACCTATCCCCTTGTTCTAGTGAAATAAAGCACTGGCATGGTAGAGCACAATCCTTATCGGCTGTAAGGATCTCCCGGGAAGCTGCTGTTATTGTTAGCTGGAGAAGAGGAGGAGGAGGAGGAGGAAGTGCGGACGTCCCCGTCGTCAGCGTTGCCGCTCTCAAAGACGTCGTCGGTGTCCATGGGAGCCGCGGCTGGCACCCTGGAGGTGCCCGCTCCGCCGGAGGAGAAGATGGTTGAAAACTGCGGGGAAGGGGTGGCCGCCCCGGGGCTCCGCGCGGGGTCCGTGGGGCTGGCGGGCGCGTGAGTTAATTGCACAGTGTGGGCCAGGATGCGGCAGCGGCTGGGACCTGGTTCACTGAGAGAGAAGGAGGAGGAGGAGGAGGAAGTGGAGGGGCCGGGGGAGAAACATTCCCGGGCCGCTCGGTGCCCTCTGGCCCCGGATGAGTCGGCGCCGGTCTGGGAGCCGCGGTGGATCCGGTGGCTGACGATGATGTTGTTCCCAAAGCCGCCCATGGACGCCATGGTGGTGCTCTGCTCACGCTGCACCACGGCTGTCATGCCCCCCTCCGCGATGAGTCGGCGAATCCGGGAAAGCGCGTCCTCGCTGGTGCCATATTCCGAGCCCTCTCCTGGACAGCACGAGGGGGAAGACACCAAAAGGCGTTAGAAACCTGCATGTGGTTACTGCAATCCCAAAATCCCCACTCTTGTTATCCTGGGACAAGTTACTGTAAACATGCATATTTTTCTACATCTATAAAAACTATGTATACTGAAGCTGGACTTAAAGTGCTTGGCGTCTGCGTCAAGTTTAACAAAAATGCCAGTTGTCTTTTGAGAATGCCATCTGAAAAATGCAAGTCTTTGAAGGAATATTGTCTGCAAATTTATCTACAGCAGCCTCCGAACTGTGTCAGAGTTAATACATTTGATTTATAAAAATCTTCATCATAAAGTGATTTTGCAGAACAGTTCACCAGACAGCTCGCATGATGCATGATTTAACGAGACAGTAAAATTAAGAAATCAAAACCAGAATGTCCTGTGTTATGAAGTATAAGAATATCATACAATTCCATGCGAAAACATAGAGATAGAACATCTACTCTGTTTGCTTTTTGCCTCTGGCACACATTTAGCACTTGATATTAACAATAATTGAGGGTGAGGGGGACAAACACTTCTAAAAACTGATGTCTGGAGTAAATAAGCCTCTCTTACAGCTTCTCAAAAACTGCAGGTCAGTGCAACATCTGTCGTTCTTAAAATCCCCTCAGCCCATCAGAGAAACAAGGGAGGTTGAAAATTTTTCAATTGTGTATTGTTCAGCCCTCATTTATACACAGAGTAGAGGTATAAAGAATAAATGTTTCAAGACTGATATTGAATTGCTGGTACATACTGTATGGAACAGACGAACTGAGACAGTAAGAATTGTATCATCTAACCAGTAACCAGTAAGAAGTCAAAGAAACCACATTTTCCTTGTTCCCCTTTCATCAGCTGTTTAAACAATAAAAATACTTTATATTTAAACCATTGATACTTTGAACTAAAGGTCTTCTTTGCAGTGACTTTCCATTGACTGCAGACAACAAGTCCTCTTAGTTCTTCATACAGAAGCACTAGTTTTGAATAACATTAAGGTCCTCTCAGGTAATTTTAAGATCCTTGGACCAGATCAATTAGCTACTGAGAAACCGAATGAGCTACAAACTGAAATGTTACTGCATAAATAACGCCACAAAACTTATTAAATGGCGCAAGCAAAACTGGAACAGTTTGTTCAATATTGTTGGGAACGTTATTAAAAACTGAAAATGTCCACTTAAGAGTCTTTATGCTTATCACCCAGTAGTCCTTCAGACTAGCAGGTGTGAAAGTTCAGCTTGAGAATGGCACTAAGAAAACCCAGGCTTATGTATGACCAGTTTATAGAAGGGTTATCACTCAGAAATTCCCCTCTCAGAAGTTCAAAATTCAAGGAATCTCAGCATAGGACAAATAAGAAACAATATAATAATTTTCCAAAAAGACAAAAGGAATATATGTACTGTTTTTAGCTGTACAGATGTACTGCTAGTTGTGTACATTAAGTTTCAAGAGGTGTTCAATTAGTCATTAACTTAATTTGAAAAGAGAAAAAAAATGAATTTAACAACAACACTAATGCATCTTTATTCATTAAGATTAAGTTAATTTGAACACTACAGTGTTACCAAAAGAAGGCCTATCAAAATATAATATACATATAAAAATTATGTTACCTGAAAAAAGATCTCCTTTGCACATTCAGTAAGATTTACTCTTAATATAGCCCACAAAAAAAAACAGGTTGTATACTGAGGAGAATTGGATAAAAAACATTCAACTACAGTACGTGATGCCTTTGAGAAACGTCTTTCCTGGAGGACACCAGCATCAAAACACATTATGGGCCCTGCCTCTCAGATTAAGACTTCTGACCCTGTCTGTTGAAAACTTAATTCATTTGGCAACATTTGCTTTCACATGTGAAAACGAATGAGAAAAGCAAAAGAGTGCTGGCTTTCAAAATTGTTTAAGAAACATTTCTCTTTCGTATCCCAATTAAGGTCTGATAACTTTCTGATTTACAGTGAAATTTCTATTAAATTTCTTTTTACAAAGTACTCCCATCTAATATATTTTATATTACATAAAAAGGTTTATAGATGCATAAATATGTAATCTTTTAAAAAATGCTTTTCTCTAATTTATGACAATCACACAATTTGGACAATTTTTCTGCATTTCCAGAAAAAAAAGTATTTTGATACCAGTAATAATCTCTGTATTAAAAGACTTTTTGTTACATGATCTAGGTTTTTTAGGCTTTAACTGCACTGCTTAAAGAATTTCACAACTGTTTTACGATCAGGCAATAACTTAAATTGAAAATAATGGCTAAATTCTATCTTAGAGGAGAAAAATAATCATTACAAAAAAAAAAGCTGTAGAGCACTGCGTGTCTCAGCAAGATTTGTAAATAATTGGTATAATCAACGCTGTATTAAACAGGGGCATTAAGAAATGGAACTGGTGTGCCTTGCAGCAGACGTGCTCTTTAACTAGAGGGCTTCTTCCATCCAAACAGCTCATTTATGAGAAAATTACTGTTGTTTATGAGTCACTAGCCATTTCCACACAAGCAAAATAAACGTATTGTTGCATCAGTGTGTATCAGACACACTGAGTTGCATCAGACTGTAATTTATAACGCAATCAGGGCTTCCTCTAATAAAAGCTTGTTATTAATGGGATTAATAAATGCTCTCCAAGGTTAAAAAAAAACATACCAACTGTGTTTAAAGCCTTCCTCAAGAGAGAAAAACACTGCTCTGCTTGATGATGTTATTGCTAACATCCCAGTGATGAAACAGCTTTCGAGCATCAATCCAAACAGATAAAAACAGTTTTATTAGAGATACTGTTGCAATATAATGTCCGAGTATAAACATTAAATGGTTTGGGACATGGTGTGGAGAAGAATTTACCTCCTGGTCAACTCAAGCTGGGGTCTGCGAAAAGATAATTCCTAATGCAAGAAATTGTAAAGGGTTAATAAAGTGATGTTATAAACGATTTCTTCTCTAGATCAAAATGGGTTCTAATTTAATTACCAGCTCCACAACTACATTTCAAGCAACTTGAGAGGACATCAGAATCAATACTTTTATGCATGTCAATTCATCAGCCTATTTAATGCACCAACTCAACACTTGCCCCTCAACTCAAATCTCTTTGTGAGGTAGTTTTACAAGAAACGCCATTTTGGTCAGCAAATAACCTCAGAATTCCAAGCTCAGGATACAATAATCCATCATTATGACCATCACAGTGTATTATTACTATTATAGTAGTTAGGGTTCCGGAAATTGTAACTGGAAGGTTATGGGTTCAAACACTGCTGTGTACCTTTGAACCAGGTACTTTCACCTGAACTAAACCAGTAAAATACCCACCTTTATAAATGTACAAATACATGGTTTAGAATAAAAGCTTCAGCCAAATAAATTAGTAATAACTGTATTTCTAAATGTCTTTTAACACTATAATCTATGGTCTATAGATTAGGATCCTCAGGCAGGTGTGGCAGTTGCTATACACACTGAGATACTGTACAATACTGACACTTGAGTACCGTCTGGTCCAGGAGAAAAGTTTGATAATGAAATCATGGTATATAAAAGAGTCCATCTTGCAGTGAGATATCAATCTTGCCCAGTGCCAAGCAAAACACCTTTCTAGAGCAGTTTGCAGTTTATCCTTTCAGCAGAATGGAAATATCTGCCTATCTATACATTAAGAATCAAAATCCTTATTTGATAACATTTCCAGAAGGCAATGGACACAGCAAATGAGGCTTTTTAGTTTTTACAAACTGCACTGCTTCCACACCAACGACAACTAGGAAAAAAACACAGATTTGCACGTGTACGAGCCTCCCATTTTTCTTTTTCTCAAAAGGGACTCAAATCGAACGTATGGCTCTGAAGGTCCCACACACAGCTACTCTGAGGATCTGTCACTGCAAAAGCACAGACTCCCTGGGAGTTACCGGCACTGGTGCTTGCTTCTGCCGACGCGTCCGCGATGCCGCCCTCTGGGTGCAGGCTGTCGGAGGGCGTCTCAAAGCTCCCCTCTGTACTGGTTCCAGGGCCGGGATCCTCCAGTGGGCCAGGCACAGCTGAAGAACAGAAAATTCTGTGATGTCATTTTGGGCTTTTGAGAGGCTGTGGTTACATAAACGTAGACAACCTGGATTGAAAGCATATTTTTATTGCAGGAAACGGTAGCCTACTCTCACTACAGGCAGTGATTCATGCATTACAATGTCATTGTCATTTCCTGTTCAGATTTTGAACCTGCAAAGCACAGTGCTTGGCACATTACTCTGCAATTCTATTTGTGCGTGAAGATGGTACAGTACATGCATGCCCCTCAGACTCTGTCAACAAGTTTCAACCAGCCATTTCAGCATTTAAAGTGTTCAGTGTCAAGGCCAATTACACTGGCCCTAACTCTAAACACTGGTGGCACACTTGCTTTAAAATGTCGAAAATGGGTTATTAGTGCGACTCAGAATTTAACATTCAAGAAGTAAGACGGAGAATAAAAAATAATTAAAAATAATTCAAAGACACTTGCATAGCAAAGTTGGGAAAATCTGTCTCCGGAAAGGACAGGCTTCAAAGGATAAACCCGTGTGCCAGCTAGAGCAATATGATATTTAAATTGGAAATCAAAATGACCTTATCCATCTATCTCCCCATCCATGAACACAAATAAGGATTTATTCATCTAAGCTGAGCTTTTTAAGCCATGCTTACAGTGCGTGACAGGTAGAGATTTCTCTAGACTTCTGCTGCAATACTCAATACCATTGGAAAAATTTGCCAATTAAGTCTGACCTGCTGACGGTTCCTCTCAGAAAGACTAACATCCTGCAGCCTTCATTTGTCAGTTCCCTTTTAGGATTCAGCTCTTTGAGTCATGTTAGCCTTTCTAGGATTCACATTCATTTTAATCCTTCCTTAGAAGTAAGAATATTCCCGAAAGGACCACAAATAAAAAAATTAATGAGAAAGTTAATTAATTAAGGAGCTGGATGAGCTTCGCAGGGACAGAATCTATCCGGCAAAACAAATACCGGAGAGTACAGCTTTATGTGAGCAGCTCCTGATGGCGATCGTTACAGAACATAGAGCAAAGAGAATTATTTTGCTTAGATTTGTTTGTACCATGGTCCAAACAGTGGTTTAGCATACAAACCTTTGCCCAATAGCTTTAATTCAGAATAATTTTTAAGAGTCACAGAATGTTTTATAACTTCAAATAATAAAAAGGCTTTTGTTCGAATGTCACTAAACAAAGCACTTCATAAAACCTATTATAAAAGAGTTTTCAACAGCACTACAGATGTGGTAGGTATGCAGAATCCAAAGTAAATAATTTGTGTAAATGTTCTGCATTTTAATTTGCATACTGAATGTCATTCCGAGTCTTTCAGGAAAAAGCAGAAAAAAACAGTGTGAGACCAGCTAAAAAACTAGAAGTGGGAGTGGGCGAAGATGAAGAAAAATTAAATAAGATTTGCACTCTGGAAAGAAATTCCACAGGTGTAGTACCTCATATCGTCTCTAACTACAGGTCTTAAAAAGTGCAGCACTGACAAAAGATATTCTCTTAAGTCATCCATTCGGATAACATTAATTGGTTCTTGGAAGTTAAAAAGTCTTTGCACTCGAGAAGACAGAGCTCTGTCAGAGGAGTAATTGGATGGGGTGTCAGTCAAAGTGTCTGGGGACTCGGACTATCACACATGTCTATTTTCACATCCCATTTCAAGAGGAAGACAGCTCAGAGCTAACTGTAGACTTTTACATAAGAGGGTTTAGGAAAATCCCCCTGACAGATTTCCTTGGATCTGTCTTTCTGCTAGAGCAACTGACAGATAGTCATTGATACCCATTGGCCTCTCAATTACTATTAAAAAATAAGCTTTTTTTTTAAGGGAAATGCATACAATTTAAACATACCATGACACAGAATCCCGTTTTTTAAACAAACCCCTTCTTAGACAACTGTTTCTTAGTGGCTCAAATAGATGCTTGAAACTAGATGAGCTAGATGAGCCACATTCCTTAGGTTTCCAACGTTTGCAGACTTTGATATGCTCTTAGGACACAGTAGCATGTAACTATGAAGCTGGGCCAGCACAGGAGGGCAGTGATTTCAGATTCTGAAAAAACAATGTTCACAATACCTGACAAAGGGTGCATTTTGTTTCCCTAAAATTGCATTGCTCTACATTTCTGTCCTCTAGTGAAAAAGGTCACACTGTTGTTTTATGATACTGTTACATGCATAACAAGAATGTTACTTCTGTTCCCCTTAGGAATCTATGGCCATCAGAATTACTGAGTGTGTGAAACAAAGCTCAAACTTATTCTGCCCGCAGGACATGCAACTGCATCAATTTTTCTGGGCTGCTCCAGATGACAAACACCCATCTAAAAGGGCTTGGGTTCCGCTGATAAACAGGCTTTAACAGATACACAACACATATATTGTGGAGTTTTTATTTTACATAGACTGCAGCCTCATAAATACAAATTTAGCAGATAAACCAGACAGCATCCAGTAGCTATGGTACACATGTCTTTTATTCTTTATCTCACCAAACATTCAAGAACAGCTCTGATCTACAATAATGGCCCAGACAAAAACCATATGTATGGCAGGGATCTTATAAGAACAATCTGATGATTTACCTCAGGCAAGCTTTCAACAACTGCACCTCACCTACAATTTGATATCATGGCCCCCTGTGACCAAGAACCCTAAGAATATCCTAACCACCATTAATCAAAGCTATAGACTCGTCTTAAAAACTTAATTTGACTTCAATAAAGCAACCAAGGTTTTGAGAAATGAGAAGCTGAATACTGCAACTCATTTGGACTGATAACACATTGTCATAAAACACTTCAGCAAGTTTTACTCATTTTCACTCTATGTAAGCAGATCAGTCTACAGACACTAATTTTTAATGATGTTACCAGGCAGTCTGCCTCAATTACAAAGACAAGCTAAATGTGATGTAAAAAAATTGCCCTGTTCAAACAAGAGCAGATGACATATAAATACAATTCTGACACCTTTCACCATCTGCATCATGTGAAACTATACTGCAAAACAGCGTATGTATTTTCCATCTCACACATTTTGTTATTGTTCTTCAATTTTTACACATGCAATTCTGAATTCTCATTTACAATGCCAATAGCTTTGCTTTCTGCAGGAACTGGGAGAAAGGAGGATGATCAATGCTTTGTCTCATGTCAAAAGAGACAAACCTGTAGCTTCCAAAGAAAATCTTGAGCAACTTAATGGGTGCAGTGTTTCTACAGCCTTGGTTGAGTCAAGCCCATCAAATACCAGAGATTCTTCACCAAGAGACTGTCCCACTGCGTACTCAGCCAGCTAATGACATAGACCAGACTCGACCGTTCAATGGTGAATGGCTGGACTATGGGACTCAACTTACTATGGGACTCTTTGAATGGATACCTTACAATTTGGGATGCTTAGAAGAGAGTTTAGTTGGCCAACACTTTTGCCCATGGAGTGTGCAAGGACCAATTTTATCATCTTTTATTAAACAAAGCAGACTTTGTATAAGCAAGTTTTCTTATGTGAACAAAAGGAGAAACAAAATATTCCAACATAGCTACTGATCTTCTAAGTGAGAAAAGTGACAAAAATGCTGAAGTACAGGGGGTGAAAACGAAGGATTTCAAGAACAAGCTGATTACAGCAATGCTATTTCTTACACAGTCATGCTAAAACATGGCACAGTCAGTAAGATCTTATTTCATTACCAAAGCTATCTACACCAGCCTTGTCAGTAATATGTCAGATTAAACATAAGTGTCTGGGTGACATTTTCTCTTTGGAGTCTAGACAGAAAGAGGGTAGCATCTGGGATGAAGGAGTGTATATAAACTATCACTCGACTGCAGTTTTTCTCCCTACTGAATTAAAAATAAAACTTGAGCACTTTCCGTCATTTTTTAGGAAAAATAAAGTCCCTAAAGAAGGAGCACACTTTTTGAAGTGTATTTGACCTTGAATCTCCACAACAGACCAAAGCAACAGTGAAATAAATGTCACAGATTCAACACTTGTCAAAATTGAACAAACTTGCAAAAAAAATCCATGTTAAAATTTGGAGGAACACAAAGACCACAACCATCTTTCTTTGAGGCAGCTTTGTGTTATTTTCTAAATGGGTGCATTACCATTTACATTCTGTGCTTAAAACGTATTAATGTAAATGAAAAAAAAAACTATCTAAAACTATCTTCTAATACAGTTTGGAATTTGGACACAAATTTACTAAATTTCAACAACTTCAATTATAGTTACTAGACAATGAGGGTACACAAGCATAAAAAAAGAACTTTCATCAACAGTATCAACAGTCATTGACCAGTGCTGCTAATCATTTACTAGATGGATACTAAGGATATTAACATTATATTAGTATAACCTCTTGTGGCAGCTGTTTTTTTCCTACAGGAAACATTAGGAAATTAAAGACATCTATTTAAAAAATCTGTACATTTCCCCACTATCACAGAGCCTTCTGCAACATGAGTCATATAAATTATGCAGAAAGCAGGTCTGAAGTTTATTTTCAAATTCAGACTTTCACATTCACATATTAGGGGAAAGGTTGTTGTTTCCATGGTCTCATAAAACAGAAATTATTAGACATGCAATTGGGCTCTGGCAGGAATTGCAATAATCACATAAATCAACTTTGATATCACACCTAAATGAATTAAAGCATTAGGTTTACCACACCAATTGGGAATCTTACTGTCTTTAAAGTGCACTGCAGGCTTAATAACATTTTCTTGGGAACCTTACCTTAAACACCTGCCTATTGGCAAGAAAACAGGGTTGTACAGAAGGAGCAATTTCTGACAGAAAACTGTTGGCAATGTTAATGACAGACTCACTCATGATGTTTAATACTTGAATGCGACAAACAAAATGTTGATATTGTAGGCAGCACTGGATTCTTTCAACAGGTGACTTCATTTATTTTAAGATAAGCAGCCTGGCCTAAGAAATTGTGAAAGGTTTATCTCTGTGCCTTCAGAAGCTTTACAAAACAAACAAAAGACTGAGTGACAGATTTCTTTACAATATGTGTGAAGTCACATTAAATGTGAATGGATTTGTGGTTGACCTACTTATGTTTTTTACACGCTCGTTCTTTATAAGAAGATAAAATAACACATTAAATGGTTTCTATGGTGCTTTAAATGTACATTACAGCTAAAGGGTTAACCCATTAGACTTTGTTTTTCTGTTGATCAGTGATTAAGTAATTAGAGCCTTCCACCACTTCTGACATTTTACTGGAATCATTATAGTTATGTTCATTCACAGTCATAAAATGACTGCAGATTATATACACTCTCATATGACAGTCAATACCCTTGTTTTGGCATTTTTCTGATCCTATTGGACTTCCAGATTCAGAAGAACAGCGACAAATGAAAGAAAGCCATTTGACCCATCCTTCTCGATCGGTACTTAGTAGTTCATTGATCCAAGGACCTCATCCAGCTGTTTCTTTAAAGAAGTCAAGGTACTGGCATCAGTTCGTGCCTGGGTAGCTTGCTCCAGACTCCCAAAACCTCTTACAGAAGGACATGTTTGCTGTTTTTCTTTTAAATGCACTTTCAGAAAGCTTCCATATATGTCTTCTGGTCCTTGTGTCACTGCTTATCCTGAAGACGTCCACTGCATTAACTGTGTCTGTGCCTTGGAGGATTTCGTTCCCTTATTTCTATTACACACCTGTGCCTAGGACACATAGCCTCTTCTAGTTCAGAGTTGTATTTTGTATTGTTTTTACCACCTGCATGCAAATCAGCATTTGTGAATATTATTCTTTACCGGCTAGGTTTTTTCCCCAGATAAATGCCCCAGATTTTATCTAAATCTTTTTCGAGTTTTATCTGCTGCTCCTACAGTGTTTACTAATCTTCCTAAACTTCAGATTTAATTAGTTGACTAACTACACCAACACAGACAAATCAGGAAGGATAGTGGCCCTAGTAAAAGATCCCTGTGGTACGCCACTAATTACATCACCACAATTGGAAAATTGACCGCTTTTCATTACTCTCCATTTCCTAATTATTAACCACTTCTCAATCCAAAGGCACACATTTCCCTTAATACTTACTGCCTGTAATTTTAGAATTATGTTTCATGAGGAATTCTATCAAACTTTTATCTTCTGAAAATCTAAATACACTGTACCTACCTCTTCGGAATCCATGTTGACTATTCCCTAGGATATTATTTCTATACAAGCCGTCCTCTAGTGCAGTTCTATAAGCTTTATAGCAGAATTAATGGCAGCCAGACTTAGCGGTGTATAATTCATTTGGTCACTTTTGTCACCCTTCTTGTGGATGAGAATTACCCTAGCAATGCTCCCGTCTGTGAGTGAAGTTCTGTGAGCAAGGAATGCCACTTAGACCCACAGAAAACTCAAGTAAATAAAAATGCAATTTTCCTTTCATGAGCACAAAAGTATATCAATGGTGAATATTCACCCACATGAGAGAAAAAAAAAATACAATTTTAATCAACAGCTTCTGTGACTGTTGTGAACAACTGTGACTACTAGTAAGTGCTCTAATACTGTATGTGAGTGAAAAAAAAATCTAAATGTGAATGATTATATGCTGAAATGGAATGCCATAAAATCCCATTATCATAAATTCCATAATTTATGAATGTACAAATATTTTTCACTGTAAATATTTTGAGCATATTCAAGAATCTCTGAATATAGTGTGAAGCTTTCAAATGTTACAACTATATAAAGCACTTCTCATTTTCTTCTGCGATGCCCCCAGGATCCCAGCGTATTATGGGGAAATATCCTTTGTTATGACATATGACACTTTGTGAAAAGGCTCTAAATATTGTTTAAATAGTTCTTATGCAATCATAGAAATCTAAACAGCAATTCTGTAAAAATAACTAGGATAAAACTGGATTAAGGCATTGTAATTGGTATACTGCAAGTGCTATTTATCAGTTCATGCCATTTTAAAATTGCTGTAATCGTACTATGCATAACAGGATTTCAGGATTATCAGTATTTCTCTCATTGATTGTTTCAGTCATATATATTACACAGGTAACTTTATTATGTACATTAAAAATAGTGTGATGTTTGGCAATAGATTTGAATAAACTCCTTTTATTCTTTCTTAGTTTTAGGAACAACAATGATAGTTACATTTCACATGATACATGATACATATACAATACATTATACGTTAGAAATGAATGAATGAGTTATCCCTTATCAGGGTTAATAATCTTTTTACAATGCTGGGAAAATCATGCCGCAAAATTTGTCCAGCCTTACCACCATTAAACTTCACAAACAACACAGGTACTAAAATTTTAAATATAAATGCTGTTCAAGTAAAACATACAAAGCATGAAATTACTTTACTACCCCTACTCCGTTTTCCTTACATGAAATAATAAAGATGAAGGACTATAATCAGGATACAGAAAGTGTTTCATCTTAAGTCCAGAACTTAAGGCCAGAAATGTCTTAGTATTAACAAAGTTGACAGAACAACCTTTCTCAGTTGAATACTCTTGAATGGCCTTTGGATATTATGACATGAAGCTCTCACCATTGGTAGCCCGTGATGTGCCGGTCTCCTGCAGGTCACGGTCAGTCTGCGTCTCTGCGTTCTGCAGCTGTAGGATGGGTGTCTGAGTACCTTGGGATGTCACAGAAGGGGCAGGATGACGTGGCTGCAAACCGATCGCATTCATCAGGCCCAAATCCCTGTCTGACCTCCAGGTCGCCCTGCTTGTCCTGTTCAAGGAGGGAGATAACGACACTAATGACTGAGCCGTGGAACAACAAAAATACAACAAGAAGAACTCCGTATCAGAATACATCTAATATTCTTATAAATACAAAATATTCAAAAAGACTCATCCAGGCTTGGAACCTCGACAGCCACAGAGCTTCAGGAACATCTCAAGCACTGATGAGTCAAAACAGTAGTTTAATAGAAAGCAAAAACAGGAACTGGTGAAAGAATGTGAACCACTACTCTATTTGTTGAGTGCATATCCTCAAAAGCTAAAACGGCAGAAAGTCACAGGTCGCTCGAGTGATGATGATAATGATAATGACACTGACACTGATTAAAACTAATCCAAGTAGATTAACAGCTAAGCCATGCACAGGAAGCAGAGTACAGGTGCATGATTGCGAGAAACAGGCCTTACTAATGCAATGCTTAAAAAGTGCAGAAAAATACCTCAGTGCAGTGTAAAGGTAGATTAAACCTTTTTAGATAATTAGGTGTGTAGAGCCACATTTGCAAATTAAAAAGGGAAAAGAAATCGTATGCACGGAATTGTGCGATTGTTACTTAACAAATAAAAGAGAAATCCAGCACCAGTGGTGCCATCAGAGGTGTTTCTTTCTTGCACAGCACTGCTTTGTATACTGCACTCATTAAGGCTCCACCGTGCCTGAAGCTTTGTGGGCATGAAGCTTCTGCATGGAACTGGGAGCTCTGTTTCAGTGCTGCCCCTTCGCTTCAGTCTCTCCTATTCCCTGGTGACTGGGGCCTCAGTGCTCTAAGCATTGCTATGAATATCGGCTCCTGTGCAGACTCTTACCCAGCCCTCTCGGTGTTGCGGCTGCCACTGTTGTTGTTAATGGCGAAGATGGGCTCGTTGACATGATCCGACTGTGCATCAGATTCCGACCGGGAATCCCTAAAAGCAGGTAGAAGAATTGAATGCAATCTGGTTTAATCCTCTTCAGGTTATTTTACAAGATTTCATTTTCTTCTTCACTCTCCAATTATGTTTTAAAGAAAAGCATTCCACCTTAATCTGATTCAGCTTTGGGAAGCTGGGGTTTTTAACTATATATTGAGGACACAAACCATATCTTAAGTAGCTTCAAAAAAATGCAGCTATGCTTCCAAAGCAAACTGAATTTCTACAACAGAACTGTGTGAGTAATACTGTGATGTGAAAGTCAGTAAGAAAAACACATACCAACATTTATTCAAATTTGGCTGATGAAAAGAGTTCAAAACTGAGTGCAGATTTGATAATGAAAGATAAATAAACAGTCATTAATGTATTCCACAAAAATCTTTGTATAGTTATTATAGGATTTTAAAGTAAGAAACTACATTCAAATTTTACAGCCTTTTCCTTTCATGCAGACTAAAGAATTTATTTAATTCAGCATAGTCATCACTGTGGAACATATACCCATTCACAGAAGGTAAAACCTAATTTATTTACTAAAAAGCATATAGTACATTGTGATATATTTTAAAGTCAGTTTAGCTCATTACTCTCACCCACAACAGAACTCTTTCAAACATTCCTTTTGCTTCAGCCTTCATGTAAAATTGCATTCAAATACTTATTGTGGAACCTTGTCTTTTGTTAAATGCACAGCTAGACTTTTATGACTATCACATCGGTTTAGAAATATTTACGAGTCAGCAGCTTAATGCAATATGACCACAAAAGAGTAATTTACAGCTTTATTACAGAGCAGATTTTGATAATTTTAAAAAATAAGCAAAAGGAATTTTACCTATTTGGGGATGGCTATTATTTAGTTCCAATGTTTGTGAAGATGGAACAAAAATCATAACTTAAAGAACTACTTCCATCTGTATCTCCTTTTTTGCTAAAGCTGTTACCTGTCTGCACTATGCAAAGTGTGTTCATGCAAAAACTGTTCTCCTGAAAATGTATAAAATGAAAACAGACTACTGGATATAGTGGGACTTTTTAGAAATACACATTAATAGAGCTTCAATTCAGCTACTCATGTCATGTTAACTTTATAGATATCTTGATACATACACAGGTGCCCAATTTTAGACTAGCACGCTTGAGGAACTACATTCCTTACTACACTTTATGTAATAAACGTCAAGGTAATTTTAAAGTATTACAAATGTGCTCTTGTAAGTTGCCTTTGGATGTTCCTAGCCAAAAGTAATTTTGAGGCATCCAAGAAGAATGAGTTCAGTAACACCGTAGAAATACAACAAAAACGATGGATTATTTTGCTCCTTCCAGAACCTTGCTTGTCAAAGCAATAGCATTGTTACAACTGCAAATTATTTACTGTACATTTGCTAGTTTCTTAATGTAAAAAGAACACAGTTGTACTAAACTTGTTAATTCCCAATAGATAGACACAAAGCACCATGATTTTTTTCTAATTTACATAAAGGGACAACGATAGCTTAAATGTGGATAGTTATCAGAAATACTCTATACAGCCTTTCTAATATTCTTGCTTCTCATAGGAGCAGGTGCATTTTTCTTATTTTTGGATACCAATGTTTACTCTTTTGGGTTGGGCTATTGTGTGACCAATTTGTAAAACAGCAGAAAAGATGCAGCCAGCCCACTGATAAGGTCCCAGACAACTTTAAAAAAATTCCCAGGATTAGGGACATGAAATATGTAGTGCCCAGAATAGCAAAACTACAAAAAGATTCCAATAATCTCCCTGTAAGGCAAACATACTGTAAGTAGATGAAATAGAAAAAAAAATGCTATAAAATGAAGGATTGCTGAGTCCAGAAACTTTTGAGAGGAGATATGTTGTACCAACTCTTTAAAATTCCACCAAGAGTTCAGACTAGTCTGCAAGATGGATTATATGAAACACTGAAGACAGCAAAAAAAAAAGTGTGCTTCGACTCACAGCAAAGTTACATCCCTTTATGAAGGAACACATTTTCCCTCTCCAGTTTTAAGGAGTTGAAATGTGAAAGAATAAAAGAAGGAATTTGAGGTGAAAAGTAAAAACCCACTGTATCATGCCACTGAGGAAATAAGGGGTAGGTGGCTTCCACCATGATTCTCTGAGCCACAGCAGGTAATAGTAAACCATTTCTGTCCCTCAAACACCTCCTGAAGGAGAACACTGACTGAGACAGAACACTGACTTTCAACTGACTGAGGGGAACTGCTGTGAGAGTAAAACTGCTCCTCACTATGGGCTCTAAACAGCTCCCAAGAAAGAGAAATCACACAAATACTGAGACATTTACATGTTCTGCAGGGCAAGAAAGACTATACTCGACCTTTTAATCTGGATTCCATTACCGAGCTAAAACGGTGGCACGTGCAACCCTATAATAACGTGTCTGCCTTTAAAACAATTAGTGAGAGCACTAACCACAACCCATCGCTCACATGTCGCCAGCATGGAAACATGAGCATGAATTGGAAGCAGGATTTCTGCCGATCGTTTTCCCCTCTTCGTGGGACCTCCCTAAGCTGACTGATAATTTTATTGCTCAAGTGGTAGCAAGATAAATCCAGAAACAGGAAATTTACATCAGTTTTCAGAAAGAAATTAATATTTAAGTACTGGTGTACAAAAAAAAACAGATGGTGTGGAAAAGGCACAACACTCATATTCATTACTTGACAAATGTGCAGGGAAAATAAACAGTTCCTTTACTTGTAAGCATACTAATCATTTTAGTTTCTGGAACCTCCACGTCTACATTTTCTAAGTAGTTGACAAGTCAAACATCTGTACTTATTAGTGCATTGTTTATATAGGACCATAATGTTAGCAATGCCCTTTTGCTCTATAGGGAGAGCCCAGGGACTGATTTGTTGGCTTTCTTGCCAGGAAAAGTATGTTTCCAAATGCATGATGAAATACTGGAAACAGTCAGTTTTTCTTTAAATTCCCAACAACCCATTTAAGTGGCACTTCAAAGAAAGGAGGTTCATTAGACATTGTCCAGTGACATGGTCCTTCAATGGACAATAAACCCAGTCAGCCACCTCATGAACAGCTCAGAATAACTTGCCTGGGCCTTAGCAGGAATTCTTCTTCACAGCTTAGACATTGAAAGCTGAATGAACATCAGTGCAAAGTTGCAATGTCGCAATAGGAGGTGACCATCTTATCGCATGACGAACTATGCAATGTGGACCATGTGCATTATTTAAGCCTCCACAGCCCTGTGCCATTTTACTCCAACTAAGGCACTAGAAAGCTTTGAGAACAAACTTAAGAAACTGAAGTCTTTTGCCCTTATACCTTCCAAATTTTAAGGCATTAAATGTCTCCAAAATGCTACATATTTTTGTGTGTTACAAAGATGGTAACTGTCGAAGCCACAGCATCATTCTCGGCTGAAACATCAAAATAAGCTTAGCAGCAGGGATCTTGTTAACTGCAGCCAACAGTAACAAAAAAAATAACCTGATGCAGATAGGATTTACACCCGCTGTGACAACTTCTTAAAAATACAAGCCTTAAACTGTGGAAAACAACACATAAAACAATCTATTATAGCAAACAGGGTAAGATTAATGAAGGGTTTTGCTTGATCAATTTCTAAGCAGTTTATTTAGGAAAGTGCATGCTGGTTTTCACTGAAACATACGTAGACATTTAACTTAAAAAATTACATTTACATTGAGACTAATAATTTTACATTTCAGAATGTAATGTCTTTTCATAAAATGGAAATACGAGCCTTTAAAGAAACACTTTAAGCAGAATATAATTTGGTATGCGCTTCAAGTTTTAGAAAGTGCTTTATGCATGACAAATACTTTACGTGGCAACTTTTTAACTCGTACACTATTCAGAGTATAAAACCAATTTCTTCATAGCTTTTTTTAAATTATTTAATACAAAAACGTAATCACATGCTTGTCAGAAATGGCAGATAAAAATAGACTTGAGCAGCTTTCAAAAGCTGCCAGAAGCAACAATAAGTTTTGGCCATGTTCTGCAGTCAACCATAAAATTAAATCTCAGAAAAAAATATCGATCCAAGATGATTTCTGTGTACCTGTCAATACGAATGGTGCAGCCATTTCTCAACTTTAAACCTTTTCTTAAAACAGCTCCGATAAGACTTTCATCAACACTTTGCCATAATACAGTACCTGTCAACAAACATCCTCCCACTTCATTTACATCCCTTTTCACCTAATTTCCCCATTTCTCATCAAACACCCGTCCATCATCAGAAAATGTATTCCAGAAATGCAATGCAATCCCTAGATGTGGAAATGTATCAGTCAAGGGTCTTTTCAAACGGCAGATACAGTATTTACTCAATTATGAATGGTTTTATAACCGAAAGCCTCTCGGAGTGCTCTTTTTCATTTGGAAACTTCTACATGACACGTTGTGAATTTCGAGAAATAAAGGCAAAAGGTATGTGACAAGCCTCAAACTGAATGGCACATTCAACCGTGCTGAAGGTATTTTTTTCTGCTTGGAAAATGACTACATTGCCAAAGGGGAAAGTATGGAACAATTACTGAAAAATGTGGTTTATAATGGGGCAGGTGGTAGAGATTATTAATGAACAACATCTTGATCAATGAAAAAATGTTTTTTTTTAATGATACCAGAACAACAGGGGTAAGTGAGATTATGAACAGAACAAGCATGAAAACTGAAAGGATTCCCATTGATTCTGGCTAAACTGCGTTTCTCATTAGCACAGACAAATCACAAAATCAATCCTGAGCCACATCACTTCTCTGAAATTGCACTGCCAGCCTGTTAAACTGCAGAAGAAGGATGATCATTATATAAAGAACATTTACAAATACTGTACATAGCCTTCAGTTATATGAAACGGGTTTACAAAGAGGCACATACTTGTTTATGCCTTTATAACATTGTGTTTATTTAAAAAAATAACTAGATATCAGCCTCTCCATTTACGAGGTTGTGCTGCACAGTGCTGCTTAAAGGATTGTTATTTTTACTAATCAAAAGAATATTTTCAAACGAATGAACACAAGTCACAACATACTCGCAGCTTCCACTTTTATCGATTTATAACACTTTGTACCAAGTTTAGTTTTTCTGAAACTATAACATCACACTAACCAATATTAAACTACAAAACTGAGAAAACAAAATGAACCAAATGGCAATAAATTGTCACAACAAGGGTATGATCACAGAGCACACCCATTTCATTCTAAATTTCAATTTATGGTTTAAATTTCCACAGCCCTCGTTCTAGTCGTATTAGAAAAATAAATAAAAAAGCAACTTGGCTCTCCATTGCAAATGTAAAAAAAAATACAGGGCAAACTCCTTCCTGTAAAAAGCACGTGGCAGAGGGATGTGCCTTCTCTCTCACCATAAGAGACACAGTTTTGACAGCAAAGTCAGCACCAAATGATGAGGTTCTCACTGACAACATACAAGCTCCCAGGTGGCCAGCAAGTCACAGGGGTAATTTCTGTACAGCAGGCCGAGGATAACTGACCACCCAAGACGGCCTCATGTGGGAGAGCTCAGGCAGATGTGCACTGCAGTGTGGGGAACCTCCATCACAGTCGCATAATGAGATGACCCAGGCTCGAACCAGCAATGACCGGAAACGTGTCTGAAAGAGCTGAGCAATGCCTTTCCAGCAATGAAAGGAAAAGCAGCTCAGATTCACATCTGAACTGTGCTTAAAGAATAAAAGCACTGCAATAACACACTAGATCAACTGTGCCCATGAGTTCAAAGTGTACCCGTGATCTGGAATGTTTTATACTTTGATCAAAAACTTCAAGGTGCATGGTATAAAGTACAGTGCCTCTCACCGTTTGCTCCTAAAAAGATCTTGAATGATTTTAAGCCTTTTTCTGAATTTTGGGATGAGGGAAAGTTTATTTTGCAACCTTCAGACCGGCCCTTTTCAATTGAGTTCGGGAATCTCACAATATCATGAAACTCTTTATGACCATCCCACTATCTCCATTCAAACACATCAGGAGCAAGTCCTGGTGACCAACGGACCCCTGACCACTGGCAAAAACTGACCTTTTACCTTTTTTCTAGAAGCTGAATCCAAACCTTTCAAACAGTGTTCTTTACAACAATGTGTTCGATACAAGCAATCCACTCTCTGTACTTGGTGAGGTCCTACCCTGATTTCATGGAGTCCAAGACTGAGTGCACATAACTACTTCCCCCTGGAAAGGATGCCAGTAAATTATAGGACAAGGGAGAAAAGGAAAATTAGCAAAATAATCAAACCTAGACAGCATGCTTTTGGGAGCTTGAAGAAAACCAGAGCAAACACCCACACAGCACCACATGGAGGGATCCTGCAAACTCCATACACACAAAGCTGGAACTGATCCCAACAGCCAGGAACTGTGAGGCAGCAGTTCTATGTCACCATGTTGTCCGCTGTATTAAGTATATTAAAGAAATACATTTTCTTTCAATTACAATCATTTACAGCTCTGCACAAAGCTTTCCTGGTGTTATATTACAAACAATCAGTGTAAACTTAAATAAAACTCCCCAGGGGAGATTAAGACAGCTTTCACATCCTCTAAAATGTGCATTTATAAAGACGTGTTTCTTTCCGCACTGCAACACTAGATAGAACACAAACAGCAGGGCATATCTGTCGCACTGCCCATCAGTTATGTTGGGGTTTGTGGTCCAAGTTTTTCAGTGAGCCAGGAAGCAGTGACTCTTTACCAGCCTTGTATTTGATGTTTTCAAAAGTGCTAGTAAAGCAATGCACATAACAATATGTATATATATTTTAGTAAATCAATGCAAATAAGAATATATAGATACAGTAAATCAATACATGTAAGAAATGTATATACTCTTAGTGAAGCAATCCTCTTAGGTGTATATATTCCTTCTTAGTAAAGGACACAGATACAGATGGTTTAATATAATAAAACACAGAACACCATTAGCTACTTAGACTCTTTCTATGCCTTTTCTATGGGGCTTCTGGTGATGTTTACAGCAACAATAATTCTGAAAAAAATATGTTCCCAAAATAAATCTTTATTGCCAATAACTGGATGCAGGCTTGCATTTCAAGTGATTTTCCAGGTTAAATAAATATAAAGACAAAACAAAATAAATTAACTTTAATTTAGATAAAAGTTGGCTTGTGTGTGACTAATCTAAGAGATTATCCTTTTAAAATATATACTGTTAAGAAGTTTATTAAAATTAAAAGACATGAACTCTACCTCCCCAAAGAGCTCTTGTATAACAAAGAAATGAAGCATTTCTGTATAAGTGACTGCAGGATATCATCAGCCACACAACAAATACATAACAAATTCAAACAAGATTTAAAATGTTTGAACATGCACTATGAAGCATTAACCCTAAGAGAAACCACAGTTTTATGAGTGATGTAAGATAAGCCTGGAAATCTCATGGAAGACAATATGTTCTTTATTCTGTTCCATTCTGAAGAAATTTGTTAGCACAACTAAGTTTTAACATTACCTTATGGTAGTTGATAGTAACAGAAAACACTGTGGGAAATAAGATAATGAAATACACTGTGAGTGTGCTATGTGGAAGGAATCATTCACAAGTTTGCCTATTAGTCAAATTTGATGGAGACTAGCTGAATGTCAGTATTGTTTTAGTTTTTGCTGTTCTTTTTCAGTTTTTTTGTATGGTTCAGAAAATTATTTCAGAGCACATTTGTTTTGTGTTTTATAGCAAAAGACATAGAAATATGGGTGAACAATAGGTGTGAACAGCCCTTCATGTGTAATCGCAGCTTTCCGATCCCGTTTTGATCAGTTATCCTTTCTCCAAAGAAACCCTGATGACCTACCTAAATACTAAGCAGAAGTACGATACAAAAAGTTGAAGCAGTTCCAGTAAGAGCACAGAGAATGACGAGATGAGACATGAGATACTATACTTTGAGTAAAAGTTATAGACTTTCAATGTAACTATAACAGTCAATCAGCAACTATTATTTGCACTGATGCGTTTAAATTACATTTTCAAAGAGGCTTGCATTGCAAAGGTGAGGTAAGAGGCTATAATATAAATTAAAAGATCACTCAAAAACTCACTGAATAGTATACAGATTTAACACTTGCACCACCATCATTATTCCAGCATTACTAGAAGTATAATATCTACTTGTACAGGTACAAGTATGCCTTTGTCATACTGGAAACATTGAAAACAAAGATTGTACAGAGATGGATTATTTTTCTAGATGTTGGCACTGAACATATGTTCAAAGACCTTGAGATGACTACTGCGGCTACACGTTAGGCAGTTGTTACCCATTCTCCTGGTGCTGGTACTGTAGATGATCTGATAGGGAAAGTGTGAAGGACTTACACAGGCCTGCAAATGACCAGATCTCCTTTGTTAGTTCCATAGGCCAGCCCCAAGCCCGGCTCTGGCAGCCATCTCGCAGAATTGATACTGACGTGCCTCCTCTGGTCTGGAGCCATTGGGTAAACAACATTGAACACCCTCTGAGAGGAAGAGAAAACACAGAGAAACTTTCAGAATCCTTTTAAGAAGCCTCACAATACAAATTCAATAACGGCAGAGAAAGAGTAATAAGTACATAAGATAACTGGAAACTATTATTCTTCTTAAGTATCTAAATTTAACCCGTAATTACCAGAAATCAGTGTGCTCAGAGGAATATGCAAATGTTATCTGCTAATACTCAGCCGAATGATAATACCACAACTATTCCACAAACAATATCAATATTAAGTAGCTGCCGATAAGCAAAATCCCATCACTGTGCACACATTAGCCTTGTTATCAATGATCCTCATTAGTATTCCCGTGATCAGTGTGGGAAAGAAGTTGCTATGGAAATTAAAAGTACTCTTTAAACTCTTTTTTTTTAACAAAGAACTGAATATAAATGGAAACCTAAAAGGAATACACTGTATTGCCAAGTCATTTTTATGTAAAATGTCACATTAAAATGTTATAATCTCAACTTTATCACTATTATTAAACCATTTTTATCAGGATTTCCAAACAATACAGACTGCAATCACAGCTTTGCAGTATGAGGTTTTGTCTATAGACTGTGTAAGGTTGAGAATATGTACCAGCTAGGAAAATTAATTTAATTACGACAGTAGCCAGCCCTCTTCTATTCATCAAAGAGCAAAGCAAAATGTCTGATACACCCAGCAACTTGAAAGAATGAAATTCTGAAATCTCTGCTGCCATAGATTCTGCTTTAAACAACCATGTTGCACGACAGTAAGTCCGGCAATCTAACGAAAGGATGTTATGACAGAAAAGCATAAGAACACTCATACAGAACATCAGATAAAGTCAAATCGGTAGGCTTCTACACTGAAACAAGAAACTATGTACATTAGTGCATTTAAAACTGAGATCAGGAGGCAGTTCTTTTACCCAAATAGCAATGCTGTTGAAGGTGATATAATGTTTCTTTCAAATCACACCTGGGTCATATACTTGGATCAACTAGCTACGAACAAGCAAATGGGCTATTCTGCCAAATGTTCTGTTTTTGTTTGTAACCTTTGTTTGTAACCTGAAGAAGGGCACTGCTGTGAACTTTGCTTCCAAGTGATGTAGGGGCCAATTATTCACAATCACACAATTATTTTAAACTCAACTGCTGCAGCAAGCTCAGGCTACACATCCAACACACTTTTTTAAACACTGTACTGACTTCCCGGTTTGTTCCAATAGATGACCTGTGGAATGACAGGCATCTCATTTTCCAAAATCTCTCGTCACATTTCACTTCCTGGTTAACTGACCCCCAAAAAAGATGAAAGACAAAGCCTGTGACGGCTGAGAAAATCATGTGGCTGTAGGAGGAGTGTAAGAAAACTCTACAGTACAAACCAGCAGCTAATTGGACCATACACATACACTAACGTGGGATTCAATCTTTAACAGGTCAAATTCCCTATGAGCCAAGTAATACAAGCCAAAAATCCTAAATCTATCTGTGTTTGCCTCCAGATAATAAGCATCTGAGTTTTTTTTAAACATGTTCAAAGCTTTTTTTGACCTCTGAACAGTTTTCTATATATATATATTGGAATACACATTTATGTTTACACCTGAGGGTTCAATCTCGAAGTGGACGCCCCTGTTATATCCAGCAGCATATTATGCTTATTAAAGTCTTTTCAAGCAACCATTTCAGGTCCCTGAAAGCAATCTTCTCAGTCAAGCTGCAGATTCACCGCCCATATGCAGCTGGTGGAAACTGCTCCAGTACTGCTCCAGGTCATCCATCCCCATCCCAAACAGTCAAAACAGACCTGGACTGAGAACACGCTGACTGCTGGAGGCCATTATCAAGCCACTAGCCCGAGATACAACCCCCTATCTTCCTTAACTGTGTTGGCAGAGTGTTCTTGTAGCATTTAGTACTGAAAACAGGATGTTTCTCTCTCTCCTGGGGATAAAAGAAAATACAACCTACAAATGTAAAACAAAAAAGCATGATATGTTTAGAATTTTTTATCAATAAAAGCTGATTGCAGAAGACTGCAAAACCGCTTTCTGATTAACGGCAAACAGCAAGGAGGAAGGTTAGGAAGAGAAGAACTACCCGATAGTTTGAACTTCAGAACCACCCTGTTTCTGCTGGAACTGTCAAAGGTGCTTTACAAACTCTGGTCTTGCTTATTTGAACAAAACTAGAATAGCTTAACACAATTGACTGATTTAAAGAAAAATCATATTTACAATTCCCTCTCCATAAAACAATAGTAAAGTTGGTACATTAGAAGCCCATTGTTGCTTACTAAATTATATTATAAACGGTACACTTTCAAAGCAATGAAAACACACCAAAAGTGCAAACTATTTGTCCTGTTTGTAACATTTTGTCAGCCAGTTTAATGACAAACACCAACATATCTGACTTCTGTAAAGCGGGCTTACGTCTCTACCTTTAAATCAACAGTGAAACTAATAGAGCTACTCTGACATTCTGAACTTAAGAGTCAATTGCTGTGGGCTTATATTAGTACAATAAGAGGTTTTACTGAAGTTCATTAAGTGGCTATTCGCTCAATTACAGACAGCCCACAGGGCCAGTGAATGTTGAGGTCTTCTGGTCACAAATGGCTCAATTACAAATAAGCCCTTCTCTTCATCCCCTTTGCTCAACATGCAACTGTAGGGGGTTGACTTTCCGGTGACATATTTACACGTCCTACTAACAAGATAAGGAAGTTGTTGTAATGGACATTTAATTCTCATACTTCCTACTTTGTGGGGGAAAACTAGCAAAGTGAAAAATGTCATTTTGTCCCTTTAATGGGTGACAGCATATGCCGAATCAAATAATCGTTAAAAGGTAATTTAACTCAGCTTTGGAAGATTCAAATAAGGTCAATAATGGGTCATGGTTTTAAGTAGGTTTTATAGCAGCAGGTGTCTAAATGGCTGAAGGTAAATGTATCTAAACCATCACTTCATTTTTCTGTCAGTGTACTGTACAGCAAACAGTAAGTGGTTTTTAGTTGAGAATAGGGAAATAGCTATAGGTTTTCTTTAAAAGATAAAAGAGACTACATATAATTGTAAGCACGAAAGCTATTAAAAAGAAGTGATAAACACACAGTGTGCAAATGTGATAAAATATCTGCTTTAAACATAAACAACCAACCCCATAAACCTCTGCCTTTTAAATGGGAAATTTAGCATGTTTACAAAAACACACAGGCCTTTTCATGCAATCCACATCACAATTTAGCTTAAAATATAACTGGATTGTTATTAACACACAGCCTAAAAACTTACCCACTGATGATAAAACTCAAAAGAAAAAAACACTTGAGACATTTATGTAACTGCAGCTGCTATGTCACTATGGTTACAGCTAAAAAATTGGCAGGGGGTAAACTGCGCTTATTATGTGAAACGACGCTGCATGACTAGAAATAGATGCTAATTTTCACATATAGGTTCTCAGAGCTTATGAACTTCTAACCAAGATTAATAAAATTGGTACTCTTTAAAAATACATATATTATCAATGTTTTCTATATAACAAATACAATACCATAAACAAAACTAACCACTGGGGTACAGAATATCTAGAAAGTAATTCCCCCAGCTGTTCTGAATATTTTAATACAAAACAAAAAAATGCCTAGCATTATCTCTTCCAAAAGCCACATGTTGCTAGTATCATTGAATGTAATCATTCGTTTATTTCTGCTGTGGCCTGAAGGTTTCATGTCACACAAGCTAGCATTTTCGAAGGCTAAATAATTTTCTATCTGAATGTTTAGTTTGAATGGTTGTTTTTGTTTAATAACGATAGAAGAGAAAATATTCTCTGGACATGCTTAAAGTGTTTACTGTATTCTGGCTTTCTGATGATATAAAATTATGCAGTCATCATAAAAAAACACCTGGGAGAACACTCAGTCATGCTGCAGTTGTAAGCCTTAATAAAAAGATAACAAACTGGCTGCCCTTGAGTTATTTTTAAATCACCTCTTTACAAAGAACATTCAATTAATCATCAGTACCACAAAGTTGCAATGCAAACACCCTTGCAGGAAAATGCGCAAAACTGTTACTATCAATAGACTGGAAGTCTCTTAGCATCACAGTTCCAACGATTGGGCCAAATTTTGTATGTGGGATTAAATTCTCGTGTTGTACTCAACTGTAGTGGGGTGACTCAAGTTTGAATGTGGGCAACAAAATAATGAGATGAGCTCAGATCGCAACATGAACATGGTGCTACATGAACCAATCCTGTCAACAAAGATCCAGAGCTGTGAGACGCATGACAAACGCAGAGACAGTGTGCCTTAGTGGTAAAATCTAAGGGAAAGTGAAAGGACATTTCCTCATCACTGGACAGCTAATAGTATTCTTGCTGCCCCCAAAAGGAAACTGACATCAATAGCTGTAAAAACTATCCTTAACATAAAGTGGCTATTGTAGTAATCGTGACAAGTGGCAGATCCAGTCAAGCCTCTGGGGTGTCATAGTAAATATACATATATTATATTTATAAAAAAATAAATAAAAGCCACTGCTTACTTTCTATTATATGCAGGATGATTTCTATAACATTTACACAGTAGAACCAAAACAACTGGTCTTCAAAAACTGAAATGTTTAGAAGTTATCTTCCATTTTAAAATGATTTTCCCCCCCAAAGCAAATATTTCAGTGAGGATATGAAGAGCATGCATTATAAGTATTCAAGATTCTCAATACAAACAGGAAACAAAACATTTAAAGCAAAATAACAAATCCCTTAAGTATTACAAGTTAAACTGTTACAGCACAACAGACTGTTCCATCATCTTAAAGCTATCTGTAGATATTAAAAGACATAAAAACTCAAGATAAATGTTAATCCGAATTTTAAAAATAAATTGATTCGACTCCTGTAAACTTTCAATTCTAACAGCTAAGTGGCGATGTATTCTTGAACTAATGTACAGAAACTCTTAAAGAAAAGAAACACAGAAAATTCAATTAAATCTGATTTCGGGTGAGATTTCAGATCAGATTAATTTAACTCAAGTTAAAAGATAGGAAACTGTACGTTAGCAATATACTTTCTTAAGTACTAATAATGGACAATGTGATAACTTCAATGGGTGTAAGATGTTATTAAATAGCAAAACTTGTGTTTTATTGTGGACAAAAGCAATTCAACAAAAATACACTGCACTTATACTGTGCAAGAGTTTCTCAAAATCAATTACTCAGCAGAAACAATCGACACAAATTCATATTTAACTTAGGGTAACGAGAAAATCTACTTTTACTCAAAAGCCAAGAACAGAAATCAAAACAATTTACACCTAGAGAGTGGACAACAAAGAATCAAATTAAAACAAAGTTGGGAAAGTTCTGTTATACTTGAGTCTTCCTTTCTCTGTAAAGCATAAATGATCTTCAGTTGGTTCCCATTAGGTGAAGTACAGATTTTTTGACAGAATTCTAATCCAGAGGCAAAAGACTCCAGTGAGTTTTTACAAAAATATGAAGCAGCCCTCAGGGGCAGCTCTGTTTATGTCTCAGAAGCTTTTCAAGTAAACTGCTTTCTCTCAGCATATCTAGGTCATGCTCGTACTTAAAAACATTCACAAGCTAGATCATGCCACCCTCTTTGTCCCTCCAAAGAAATAAACACACACAGGTCAATTGTAAACCACACACATGGTATTCTTTAAGTAAAATGGAGAGAGCTGGATAATATAGGCTACAATTACCACACTGACACTGACAGCCGCTGTAGTATTTTGAAACAATTTACCAGGAATTATGTGGGGTCTAATTTCTCAGCAGATCTTGTTTTATTTGTGAAACATATAAAAGCAACCTGTTTCAGACAAAGGCTTAGTCAGGAGAAAGCAGGAAAAACTAAATGTTTAAAGGTGACAATGACACATTAAAACATCTCCCAACCCCACTGGGGATGATTGCTGACTGAAATTCAGTCATTTAAAGGTAGCCACTTGTTTAGTCTTCAAGATGCATTTCCTGAAATCGCACAATCTCCCTTTTCAAATCCGTAATAACCTTGAAACCCACGCTTCCCAAGTTTTTTTCAGCTCATGCCACATGTTCAACATCCAACCTTTGCTCACAACAAATGATTTTGAAAATCAGCAATAACATTACTAGAAATAACATCCCGAATGGAATGAGAAATATTTCACTTTTTGACTAGAATATCAAAGCTATATTTCATCTACTCTTTTGAAAGAGTCACCATCTGGTTCACGGAAGACAACATCCTCAACCACGAAGGAAAGCCAATATATGCCACATCAGTTTCTGTGTTGCTAAAGTCTGCAAGAGGACTTGACTGAAGATGAAAGCCAAATGTTTTCTATATGCTTCCAAGCAAGCTCTTTGCACATAATTTGAAAACTAACAGGAGATAAGGCAGGTACCTTCAGGATGCAAGATGGAAGCTGTTTAATCTGACTTTTTCAGTATGGCCATACGTTCTGTACAGAACGATTTGGAGACAATTCACAAGGCCAGTACTTTGTATGCTACAAATAAGGACTCGAGAAGTTTAGAGTACCAAGAAACAAATGAGTTCCCCCGCTCTCAGGACAGAGCTATGACACAGGTGAGAAAGTAGCCAATCCCAAAAATGACACCTAAGAATAGATATGAGAAAAACAACAGAGGAATGATTGAAGAAAGGCACCGTATTATGGTAAAGTATGTCTGAAAAATTAATAGTTCTACTGTGTCGAATATGCACCATGATGTGCACAGTACAGTGTCTATACATCAAGATTGTTTTAAAATGAATCCTTGCAAGACATATGTATGTGTATACAAATATATTACAAAGAACAAACGTCTGCCTTTCAAGAGCAAGCAATCGCAACAAATTATGAGAATATGAACACTAATTAGCCCCAGACATTTCACAATGCTACAAAGCAGAACACTCTAAAAGACTTCTAACTCTGTTTGTTTCTTTAAAGTCAAAGCGAGAAACCACAGGAAGATGCTTCACCCTTGATCATCAGAATGATACATCTAACTTTAGCCACAAAAACTGTCATATAACTTAATGCATACTGTATACATACAGACTTGAAAATTTACTACATCTTGACAAATATGGCTCTTAGCATAGGCTGTGTATTAATGGTGTTACCTATACTGATCTTAAATTGAGTAAATTGAACTTCAGTGTACAAATAAATGAGAAGGAATGAATAAAATGGGTACAATAGGTGTATCTAGGTACAATTAATCTTCTTCAGCTTGTTAGAAGGAAATCTAACCCCCCAAACCGCTAAAAATGGTGGTTACATTTCTACCTTAAGGTTCTTCTGGAGGACTTTGGTCCAAAACATCTTGAAACAGCTGATTTTATGATTTAAACCTTCCAGGTCAGTTTTGTGACCTCTGCGGGAACAGCTCAGCACAAGCAATCCCAGATACAGATTATGATCTTTAGGTACTCAGGTGATACAGCGGAACTCTTCATGTGTATGAAAGAAGCAAAATTACAATATATTGCATCACTAGTACGACTGTGTAACCTCAGTACCTTACATTGCCTGTGAAATGGGCAGGTGTGTTTAACGAGGCACAGCGGAACTCACCCTCATGGACGTCTCCCCACCATGTGGCTGCTGTAGTCGGAAGACCTGGGCTACCATGTGGTCGGTGGTGGGGTGCAGGAGGATCCTCCTGGAGGCCAGGCCCACCATCACGTAGCGACCCATAGGGGACAGGCTCACTGAGATGGCATTGGGACCTGCAGGGACAACAGGAGCCCTTTAGTACCTCAGGGGTCAGCTGGCGTGACACTGCAGTGCTTTGAGTCACCTTACTGCATCAGGACCAGAGAAGACACCAAGCTGGGTCAAAGAACAAACCTTTGCTGAACATTAGAACTTAAAGGGGAACTGCAATGCTACTTCCAGATTTCGGTGATAGAAAGAATTACCATTGATGAGTGCATTTTAAAACTATAATAAAAGTCAAATGTACACAGTAACAAGTAATAGGTTTATTCCATGCTGAAAAAAAAGAAGAAAGAAAACACAACGTTTCGGCCGTGGAGCCTTGCACACCTGAAGAAGGCTCCACGGCCGAAACGTTGTGTTTTCTTCTTTTTTTTCCAGCATGGAATAAACCTATTACTTGTTCCTTTGCAGCCTACGCATGCTGACGCAGCTACCCACCTGAAATGTACACAGTAACTTGTAAAACCACCAATCTACATCACAAAATAGCCAAAATTTCCAGGTATGCATAGCGCCATGTTCTGCGATTCAGAACGAGGCAACAAAATGCCGGTTGCTGCAGCCTTATTACATTATATCCACAAGCCTGCTTGTTTACAACTCTATCTAATAGAAATACTGCTTCCGAGTTTGAGCTGGTTTTGCCGACAAATACTCTGCATGCAAATCACTTTGGAACATTTCGGCAGGGAAACGTCTGCTACACAGCCTGTATTCATTCGCTCGGACATCACATTAGTCAACATAGTGACTGGTGAGCAGGAAGTGCCGCATCACGTTGCAATTCGTGAAAACTCGAATGCGAGTTTGCAACAACTTACAGTACTTTCACAAGGTTCATGACTTTGTGCTTAATTTGAAATTGGTACATTTTTCCTAAAACGTAGATTAATTTATATTAATATCAAGATTTCATAACCGGTCTAAGAAACTGGGACTGCACCTCCCCTTTAACCACCTGTATCTGCATGCACTACTTTTCTTTTCAAAACCACTCAAGGCACTGTTTAATTTTCTAACGTGCCATTTAAAGAAGTGGTTGTTTTTTTTCCCCACTTTCTGGTTCCGATTTTCCTCGCGTCACTGTTGGAATTTGCTGCTCATGTGGAGGCTGTTTTCAAATTCAGGATTCAGGGTACGATAATGATAGCTGACAGGACTTGGACTCTGACTAAACTCGGTGCTGCTCTGCACTTCTCTCTGAAGAAACAGCCATGACAAGGGACTTGTGCAGCAAACTTGAATTACAAAAACGATACTTGAGTTTCAGGTTCCCAATTAGGTTTTAGAATTTTGGTCAAAGGTGCCCAGGGGGTCTTGAAATCTGGAAGGGGATTAAAAGAGGAAATGAGTTAATAAATAATGTACTTGGAAATGGATCACTGTTTTGGGGGGGGGTAGTGCTTCAGCCACAGACTTTTCATGGAAATGAAAACGACCTACAGGCCTAAAGACAGAGCTAGTGCTTTATTTGAAACGCCTTTAATTCTTTTCTCTTTTTGCGCTCTTTGTATATTAGCACAGTTTTAAAAAACATACACCACGATCAGTTACAAGCTAATTCCACTCCTCCGGACATTTTTTAGCTTAATTTTTTATGGCTCAATTATGGCACCTACCCAAGATGCTAAACCTTCTGCTTCCACTTTGTTTGGAGCATAAAATAAAAAGGGTGCCCGTGGTAGTAAAAACATGATATTATTTTTTATTACCATTTTAATTGGTATTGTCAATCTACATCTCATTAAGGCATACCAGTGCGTGACATTCAAAGAAGAGAACAAGCGCAAAAAAAAAACCCAAAGGAGAGCAGCAAATTTTAAATGAGAGGTTGCTTTCAGGCAAGGCAAACTGATATATTCCACTTATTATTCATAGTGTCAAGTAGGCCTATACAGTGGTTTCTAGAATCACAAGGCAAGTTTGCTTGCTGCTCTTGTTACCCTGGATGTGACTGTTCAGATTAAGTCTACTCAGTGTGTAATCCTGACTTCTTCCCATTGAACACTATAAATACACAGAGGACTGACAACTGTAGGCAATCAATTTAGAATATTTGAGCAAACTTTCACTGGCTGCGTCTATAGTCCTGCAGCATAATTTTGACTACATTCAGATCAATCTAATGCTAGTCTTTTTCTTCTCTATTGCAAATTTAAGGGATTTCTTCAAAGTCAACATTATATGACAATATATGTCTAAAGTGAAAACACAGTAGATGATGTGTTGGATTCTCATTAGATGGAAATCAGAAGGCATTGTTTGAAATGTCATGCTAAAATCCTTCTCTGCTGGTTCACACCCTCATCTAACTACCAAAAACCACGACCTTTCCAGATATTGTTTTTTGGCAAAGCTAGAAATGTATTTCACATCTTATTAAATACAAAACTTCTTTCTCGTCAATATATTGAATGCAACAGTAACACCAGAAAGAAATGACAGCTGAAAACTAAACTAATATTAAACAAAGAAAAGCTAATAGGTTTAGAAACACCTAATAATGTAATATTCTGTTGGCTCTACTGTTCAAATAAACCCAAATGCTACACTGAGCCCTCCTGTACTGTACTCCTGAGGAATTTAAAGGTGAACTTCTAATTCTGCAGTCATTCTTATGTGCTCAAACACAAGTCTCAGTGTTGTAGTTGGGCGAGTTTCTCTCTCCCACAAACGACTTCTGCTCTCCCAGCCCCAGGAGCTCACCGAATCTCTTGGTGTAGAGCATCTCTCCCAGGTTGTGCGGTGCCAGAGAGTACACTGCTAGGATGCCTTCATCTGGAAAACCTCGCTGGCTGCTGGGAATGAACACTGCCAGAAGCTGCCCGTCAGCAGAGATATCACAACTGGCATCATTGTAGATCTTGCAGTTCGGAACCAAAACGTTGATGGTGGCTGTTACAATGAAGGAAAGAACGTTAGTAAGGCAATCTTCAGGACAACAAACACAGAGGTCAAGATCAGCTTGCAGTACTACTTTGAAACACTATAACTATGGGAATTGCACACAATGATACTCTGTATATACTTACACTGACTAGAATTGTGCTTATGGCACTGACGTGGCAAAGATTCACTGCATTCCATTGCCAAAAGTATAGAGTAAGTTAAAATAATATAGAATAAGTAATAAAAAGTAAGTGATCCTTTTTACTTTCATGACATTTTTTTTAACATCGGCCTTCAACTGTTTGCATTAAAATTGAATTAAAAGTGTTAATACACTTCACACCATTTGAAAACTAGAAATTGTGTGAAACATGAGGAGCCAAATAAAATGTTTCTACAACCTCAGCTTCCAGGATTTAACACAGAAGTTTATTCTAGCCTTATTCCACATTTTCCTGCCCATAATTTATACCCCCCAATAGTTTTCACTTTCAGAATCTCTATATTGGAGAATAGGAATTCAACAACAAGTTCAGTGCCAGACCAAAAAAATGGTTTTAGGCTTTGTTGTAGGTTTTTAATATCAAGTATATTTTGGAAACAAAATAATAAAAATGGAAACACTCAGCAGGCTATGAAAGATATAAGAAGCACTCACAGAGCGACAATTTATTCTGTTCTGAATTGTATTAAATTTGCCCATGCTAGGTAAAGAGGAAATGTTTTCTTTCTTTCATTTGTTAACTAAATTATAACATTCTGTGAAGATTAATCATAAAGTATTTTACAACAAACCGCAAGTCTGTAAATAAAATTTAAGTTCTTGTG